CTCCAGGGCGACTTCCGGACCCGATCGGGGAATGACTCCCGGGTCTGCCTCCGAGGGTCCCGTCACTGGTACGTGCACTGTGAGGAAAAAGATCCCGCGCCCTTAGGGGTTCCCTGCACCCGCCACTCGAGTGGGTTGCAGCCGGTCCCTGTGGCGGGCCCTCCCTCCCCGCAGTCGCCGAGGAAGCCCCGAGTTCCTGCAGCCGAGCCCCGGCGCACCTCCGCAGGCACCTAAACGCCGTGCTCCAAAAGCCATGCCGGGTTTCTCCTTCCAGTGGCCCCCTTCCGTTGGTGATGGCCACCGTTTTCTCCCAGCTCCCCAGCCAATAGCTGCCCCAGGATTCCTTTACTCGGTGGGTTTAATCAGGGCAGAAATCAGACATCTTCCTTGGCTCCTTTCTTGTCCTTTTGTGCAGCCATCCCGGACACACGCACATCCTGCCCTTCCTACTCGCGAATTTCATTTCCCTCCCCACTGTCTTGGCTCGAGTCCTGTGCACTCTCTTCTGCTTGGAAGCCGGTCACTAAATCGCACCTTCCTATTGCTGACGCCTGATCCCCCCCTAGTCACGCCACAGCCAAAGTGAGCTTTTTAAAAAATTTTCAAATTAGGTGCTCTCTTGCTGGAAAACTCTCCAAGGGATCCCCATCATACTTGGAATAAAATGCAGAATTCTTGTCCTGGTTTATAAAACTCTATGTAGTTCGGTTGCCGACGACCTCTCTCCTCTGGTCTCTGACAAGGTTGGATGTTGCAAAGCCACATAAGCCTTTTTTTTTTTTTTTTTTTATGCTCCATGAGGCCAAGTTCATTTTCACTTTGGGGCCTTACACTTACTAGTGTTTTGTTTTGTTTTGTTTTGTGTTTGCTAGGACTGCTTTGCTCTTTGAGTTCTCAGATGACTGCCTCCTTCACATTTAGCTCTTTACTGGAGTCATTTTTCATCCAAGACCCACCAATAGTTCCTTACCCTTTCTTCTCATTCATTCAAGAATATTAATTGAGCCAGGCAAGGTGGCTCATGCCTGTAATCCCAGCTGCCTGGGAGGCTGAGGCAGGACAATTCTAAATTTGAGGCCAGCCTGAGCAACTTAGCCTAGACCCTGTCTCAA